ACTCTCAATAACCTTTTTAAATAGGAGGAACTTTTTTCTGGATCCAGGCACCCTGCCCCCATTGCCTTCTGGGGAGATAAGAACTAATTCTGAGATCAGCCACCCTGCTCCCAGCCATATTTTGGATTGACAGGACTTTTGCTGAGACCTGTGCCCTACACAGTCCCCCTTTAGGGACAGCAGGAACTTTTTCTGGGACCAGGGACTCTGTGCCAACTGCCTTTTGGGACAGCAAGAACTTTTCCTGAGACCAGATGCCTTGTACCCAGCTGCTTTTTGAGCTGGTAGGAATTCCTTCTGGAACCAGGCCCCTTGCTCCCAGCCACCATTTGGGCCAGCAGGAACTGCCCCCAGACATCTTTTGGGTCAGTAGGAACTTGTCTGGGAACAGGAGCCCTGCCCCCAGTTGCCTTTGGGATAGGCAGGAACTTGTACTTGGACCAGGTGGGGAACTGCCTGCTTGGCCAGCTGGAACATAGCCTGGGTGTCCTGCCCCCACAGTTTTGTTTTTGTTTGTTTGTTTTTAATTATTTTCTTCTTTCTCTTTCTTTTAATCTTTTTCCTTCTTCTTTCCCATTCCTTGTTTTTGTTTTTTGTTTTCCTGGTCACCCTCTCTTTTGTTTCTTTGTCCTTATTTCCTTTTTGTTCTTGTCATCCCTTGTTTTTCTCTTTGCATTTTTCCTATTTTTCTTTACTATTCTTTCTCTTTTCCCTCTTCTCTTTTCTTTTCCCTCCCCAGATACTGGTTTATTTTTCCCTTCTGTCTGTTTGTCCTTCTTTTGTCTTTTTTTCGGCTTTTTATTTGTTGTTTCTGTTGTTTGTTTATGCTGTTTGTATTTTTTGTTCTCTTTTTTTATTTTATTTTTTTGGTGTTGTTAATTTTGTTTTGTTTTTTGTCCCACCAGTTAGGAGACAGCAACTGTGCCCACATGACCCAACCACATCTTTACTTCCTACAACCATACCCGTTAGGTGAGGGAGTGCCACTACCAGCTTCTGCACCAACAAATCAATGATAGACAGTGGCCAATACCAGCCTAACCTGCCTTCAGCTGCTCTACGCAGACAGATAACAGATCCATGCACACAATCTCATCCTCTATCATACTGACCAGGAGACAGGTGGTGAGTGCACAAGTGCTGCCAAATTAGCAAACAGAGTAGCACACTTGCCCTGCTCATTTGGATATTTTTGCTTGTTATTGTTATTTGCCGTCGAGTTGGACCCGACTCATAGAGACCCCTCCTTGGGTTTCTGAGGCA